ACTGCCAACTGGTATTCATGCAGGCGTGTGGAGGCGGATTTCCCGATTTGACCACAATATACCGCATTACAAGTGCCACATGAAATCTTATAGACCACTTTTTAAAATTTAAATAGCCACCCCTATCCTTGGGATGCACAAGTTGATTGCTTAAGGTAGTCGTTGGCTTGTGGGCCACTTGTATTGGGTGCTTCCTCAGATGTCTTCCAACGAGTTCAGACACATTTTTAATGTAAGGAAGCGTTCGTTGGTCTTGGCGCCTGATCGAAACAATCTAGCTACTGATCTCTTTTTTGATTCCTGCTGTTTCATGCATCGGCGTACAAAATCTCTAGGGTAGCCGTTTTGGGAAAATAGGTTAAACAAATAACTTAGTTATACTTTGTATCCTTCGTTCTCGGAGCAGCGGGTCTCTGCTCGGTTAAGTAAGACATTAACAGCATTTCGTTTGTGAGCGATAGCGTGATTGCCCTCGTAATGTAGGATAACTTCCGCATAAGTTTCTCTGCGGTATACTGGTGTGTTGAATGTCCCGTCAGTTTTTCTCTGTACGAGGACATCAAGAAATGGGAATTTGCTGTCAACTTCTCTTTTGAGCGTGAAGGTGATTCCCGGCAGTGTTGAGTTGATAACGATATGAAGCAGTTCCAGCTGATCTCTCTTGCGGATGACAAGGTTTCATCTACGTAGCGTATCCATAATTTGGGATTGAATAATGTTAGGGTCATGGCCTCTGATTTCCGCATTATGACCTCAGCCAGAAAGCCAGAAATAGGTGACCCCATAGGAGCTCCTTTCAGCTGTCGATAATATTCATGTGCGAATGAAAAGTTTGTTTTCAGTCATAAGCCCAAGGGTTCAAGAAAAACAAATGCAGAAACATCGATGTCGTAGGATTGTATGAGTTCTTCTGTGCACTGCCTGGCGACAATATGGAACGATACCACAATCTCATCCGTAGCAATAGTGAATCCTCATATTTTGTCTAGAAATTCAAGAGAATTATCGATTAAAGTCTCACAATCCTTCGTTAAGTAATGGAGTTTGTGGAATAGCCATTTATAAATCTTGTCAATCAGTACACCGATTAATGATACTATCGGTCGCAATGGTACGTCGGGTTTGTGAACTTTCGGTAGTCCATAGATTTTGGCGATTGTTGGTTCAGTTTGTATTAGGGATTTCGAAATTTCTCCTGATACTTGCTTCTTTCCTGCAAGACTTTTCAGCACTTAATCGGTGGATGAAATCGATGCTTTGGTGAGGTCCACGGTGAAAGACATACAAGTTGATATATCTTCAACAATGATAGCATTTCGTTATTGTAGTCTGCTTTGTTTGGAATTGCAGTTGAGCCTCCTTTGTCTGCAGAATGAATGACAGTGTTTTTTGTCAGTTTTCAGGGTGTTTGATTTCTTCCTTTCCTCTTGTGACAAAACTAAAAAATAGTTTCAGTTTATAAGGGCTTGTACGGTGCTATTCTGGATATCGAAACGTCCATCATCTGTGAGATTTTCTGATGATATGATGGACTCCAAGTTTGCAAGGAGGTCTAGTCTGTTCAAGTCGGAGAGATTGTACTTCATGCCCTTGGAAAGTGCATCCTCTTAGGTTATTGTAAGGGCTCTCGATGACAAATTTGCTACCTTATTTGAATGACTGTGGTTTGCGTGAGTTCGCTGAGACATGGACATCCACTTCTTGTCTAAAATACCTCTCTTCTTCCGTCGTTCGATATCTGAAACGTGGGTGATCGTTTCACCTACACTACAGTGATGTCTCAGATTATCCAAGAAGGATAACTGACGGTGGATTGAGAACGTTTATCGGCACATGGCCCCATGGGTTCAGCGTTACTGACAGTAATAATAGTAGTAGTAGTAATAGTAGTAGTAGTAGTAGCAGCAGTAGTAGTAGTAGTAGTGGTAGTAGTAGTAGTAGTAGTAGTAGTAGTAGTAGTAGTAGTAGTAGTAGTAGTAGTAGTAGTAGTAGTAGTAGTAGTAGTAGTAGTAGTAGTAGTAGTAGTAGTAGTAGTAGTAGTAGTAGTAGTAGTAGTAGTAGTAGTAGTAAGTGTCTTATTGAGCACTGTCAGTGCACGCACCATATCGGAGCCGACGCTGCTGTCTACACGGAAGAGGTAAAGGGACCAACTCAAAAACCGATTCAGATCAGTCGGTGAAAACATGAAGCTGAGGCCTTCACCCTCGATACCCGGTTTCTGTTATTATTTGGTAAGTTGAGCTTCCCATATTGCAGCAACAAGTTTCCGTGTCCTAACGTTGATTAGATCACGTATGATCACAGCCGAACCAAGTACACATACGTGCAAGTATCTATTACGTCGATAGCCAGCTTCCGAGCAATCTGAACACCGACATGAAGGCCGAGCATAAGGGATATACAGCCATCGTAAAACGACCCACATGAGGTTAACTCCGGTTTCTCAGTTCACCTGACTTCCGTTGAAATCTTCGCAAAAACACTAATGAACGACGACATTATTCAGTTTACCCTCCCTCAAGCAAGGCTTCGGCACGCTTAAAGAAAATAATTACGATCGCTGTCTGGCCAAAAATTCAATAAGTACGATTCCGCATATCGTCCCGGGACTTTCGAGAGCAAGCTAAAAGTCAGACTAGCCCATTCAATTATCACATATCCCACTCAGCCCTGTCCAACCCATGAATTCGTGCTGGACCTGACGGGTTCGAGACTGGGCCTTTATCCTAATGGCCTCCTGCACAAAAATTGATTGCTATAGCTAGTTTTCCAAGTGTTTTTTTTTTACAAATGACTTGGTTATTTAGTGATTTCTTGTCAATGCGCCCGAATATACTACTGGGGGTGGTTAATTTAAGCATTTTTGAGAGTTTTCCAGGTCCATCTACTGTCTCGGCTGCCTTACTAACTTGGTTGAGTCTGCCCCTAATAATAATCATCGTAATAGCACGAAATTTCGACCAGCGCGAGCGAAGACGCTCGTCATGGGTCCCGCGGAGTGAGTGCAGCACTGGTGACTTGCGCGTTAGTTAATTAAGGGTGAAGATGACTTGCAGAGCACCAACCGCAAACCCTCCTCCCTCACCCATCAGGCCCAGATGGCAAGATAACGCCAAGCGGACTGGACGAGAGTTAAACAGCCTGTCTACGCATACGGCACGCGTTCGGTCCGCGCACGATGGACCAGGTCTTCACAGAGCACAAGGAGGGTGGCGGGGATCTCGCGCTTGTGAGAGCACCATTGCGGTCACGTTAAGGAGACGTTGGGTCTAAGTTCCAGTCCTCGAGCCAGTCACCCCACATACCCACACAGCATGGACAGCGAGAACCGACTTATTCAGTCGACTGACAGCCTTCAAAGCCACGATTTTTAAGGCGTCGTAATAATTCCAAAGTTTGTCAGATTTATCATTATGGGAAATGCGCTGATCTGCTGTGTGAATAAGTTCCCCAGTGTCGACCTCACTCCCTCTACCCTCTGCCACGCACCTTTCCACTCTCCGAGCCGGTCAGCTATCTGGCGCTGGGACTGAGTGCAGTGGCCGAAAAAGCTGCAACAGATCGTCTACGTGTGGCCCACGCAACCTAGTCAGACACCAGATTGTGCCGGAGAACATGCTTCCCACTGATGTGAGCAGTGCATGTTCTGTCCGTGTGTCGGTTGCTGTGCGGCCGGTTAGTGTGAGGTATATGGGCTCTTGGGGTGAGGTGTGGTGGTAGGGTAAGTTCTACGATAACGGAATGTCCTTGGACAGTGTGGGCAGGTGAAGTGGGTGCGACGAGTGTACGCTGTGGTTCCTCAGTGCAATTGATCCGCAAGTACTCGATCAGGTCGATACTTGAGGCAAATGTGCGGCGACATTAAAGATTAGATGAGATTGTGGTTAGTGGGCTAACGTTGTGGCGATGCTATTTGTGATGGTGAGGCCGCTGGTGATGGTGAGGGTAGTAGTAGTGCCGGCGGTAGAGGAGTATTCAGGTGTGTGAGGAAGGTTTGTCCTGGAAGCGTTTTGGTAAATTCCGCTGTCGTGGAAATGAAAATGGTTAATTAGACCAACGCGGTGTCTGGATATCATGGGACACTTTAAGCAGACAGAATAGAATAGATGAGGCTTATGTGGAGAGTGCATATCGGGGCTACCGGTCCTGGTTCGTCAGCTCTGTGCGATGGATTCGTAAGTTACAGACCAGGCCTACGCGTGATGAGAAAATACAGTGACAATAGCGAGAAGTTGGAATTGAGTCCAACTGGTTGGTGGTAGGAGCAGTAGCGGAAATATTTTGCAGGTCGCTAGGATTACCTTCATTGGTGCTGCTAGTGGTGGTGTGCCGTAGGGTCTATAGGTGTCTAGTTAGGGATAAATCGCACAGGTCGCATCCCGCAAGTGATTAATGCTACGCAGGTCCTTAAGTGACTTCCCGAAGTTAAGTTCTACCTTGTAACCACACCCCCAATGACTGCCTTGACCGGCGGGCTAAACCAGGTAAGGGCATTTAGTGCCGTGTGTCCCCAATCCCGGAAATTATGTTCTCCCTCCCATTTGATCCTCTTCCCTCACCACTTTCAAAAAGTCGGACGGAGAGGTCAACATGCAAGCGAGTAGGCGACTCAATCTAATTGGATCGTTCTCTCATTAAACCAAGCCATGACCAATAGGGGAGTTCGACGACCGCGTGGGATATCCAAATAGCCGTTTTTAGAGACAGCACTGTTTACATCCTCTCAGGGAAGGGTCTTTAAAAGGTGCTCTAAAGAAATGTTGTGATCATGCCATCCGCAAGCAGACCGTTGCTTGTAGATGTAAAAATAATGACTGAAACAATCAAACGGCCATCAGCCCTTGTCCCCATCCTTTCGCCTCACGCCACAGGCTGCTCAAGTGGCTAGTCTTTCTGGCGGCTGGTGCTGACTACGCCTTCTTCTGGAGTGGCCGCCCATAGGTAGAGCGACGCGATGCTAGAACTGCCTTCGCCACCCGGAACGACATCATGGGACCTTCATGCTCGGCCTGCTGCAGGACACCAGCGATCATCCCATGATCCTGCCCCTGCCTCTTAGGGGAACCAATTTCATCACCGTCGTCAGTGCCTTCGCTCCCGCAATGGCCGACTCTGACGAGGTGAGGGACACATTTTACAAAAACCTGCACACCCTCAGGCTGGTCGGTCACTTGCGGCTCCATCGCACCTAGACTGGGGAATCAGTGCCAGGGGCACCAACATATACTCATCGTCATCGCTCCAACTGCCTGCACTGTTCACGCATATTTGCTCATCGCATGAGCCTGACGAAAATGGTAATGTTCTCACGAACTAACGAGTTATATCTCACGAAACCCTAGCTTTAAAAGCAGCAATTAAAACCGAGCAGTGAATAATATAGATTCTGAACGTTAAATAACCTGACAACAGAGCGCGACAGCTAAGCAGGCCAGCAAGGCGGGTTGTACTGGTGTGTTGCTTTTTGTCACATTCAAACAAGCAATTCGATCGAAGAAAATGGGACTAATTGTCAAAGGTAAATTAATGGGGTCCTCAACACAAGCCTACCCGGTCTCATGCGGCTCCACGATAATCTGCAGTAAACCATCGCAGACCAAACACCACCACCACCGCCGCCACCACCACACGAACCGACCCCTCAGCACCCAATACAGACTCCGAACAAGCACTTCCCACCTAAATGAGAAACGTAATTCACGTCTTCTCCTCCATGTGACCGCTCTGGTAGTCTAACGGATGTAGGTTCTGACCAGCCTAACCCGCTTTTGTGCAATTCTAGTATGTTGTGTGGGGGACCGGTTCATATATGTAGCCTAAGCAGCCGGGCTCTCTAGCTTTATCGGGCACTGCGCCCCATTCCCCGTTTCAGCTGACTGACTGGTTCGAACACTGAACCGGCCTTTAGGAGAGGGAAGAGAGCCAGGTCGACTCCTTCATCACATGTTCCTCACTATAAATAATCGGATGCGCGGAAATCTATCACGGTGCGCTAAAAGCTGTGACTTGGGAGACTGCCAACCGACGGAAGAATTCGGTCCTCCTTTCAGGACGGAAGGTCAGGCCGAAATGACTCTTCATGGCACTCCAACTCACTTGGTATCCGAGCCATCCTCGATTGTTCTCCGTGCGAAATCCTGATGCATCGTGTGCGCACCATGCGTATGTATTTTCGTGCCAGCCACCTGTGCCCCCTCCCAGCCCCAGCCCTCCTGACCCTGCTACGACGCCTGGTCCGGGTGGGTGTGAAGGAGAGTGTGCGATAGCTGCGGTGCAAGTCTACCACTATCATAAACGAATTCTCGCATAAGTCACTGTCCCTGAGTCCCCTTGCTGTGAGGCAAACTCTGGACATCGTCGCCTGCGACGGCCGAACTGTCGGTTATGTGTTGTGAGATGAGAGGACGGTTGGTCGTTTCGACATTGTAAGGGGCCCGCAGGCGTCCGTAGAGGCCGATTCGTGCCCGAGATGTCTTTTTACGGTGGGAACGCGATGGCATGGGTTGGGTGCTGGTGTTATTGCTTCGTCGCATTCGAGTTGTGCGGGTCTCTCACTTGGCTTTGACAGCGACTACTGGGGTGGCTTCAGAGATGACTGCTCCAGTCTTTACCGCAGTGTGCCAAGTCTGCCGATCTTGAACGAGCTCCTCCCAAGTCTCTGGGTTTATTTGTACGTATTTGGGTGAAGTCTTCGTGGTTTCCTTGTGGCAGTGCATTAGTCCGCTTTGCCAGCTATCACCCACGGCTACGTCGGCGTAGAGCAATCGTATGGGGGTGCGCTCGTCATCAAGGCTCATGAGGTGGCCGATCAATCGCAGTTGCGTCTATCTCGTCATTGCGTAAATATTAGGGAGGCCGATTTCTTCAACATCTGAATGTCTGGAATACTTTTATGTCATCTTACTGTCAGTAGTCTTCGGAAACAGTTTGGATGAAAAGTGGGCCAGATATGGTTATGTAGCCCCACTTGAAGCGAACAAGCCCCAGCCTCCTGTAATACGGGATCGGCGGCAATGGAAGTTTTTACAGGTGGGGCCGGGGAACGCACAGGCGACGAGGTCAAGTAGTTGTATGCAGAAGAAAAACTATTGACAGTGTGCGATTGCACTTAGGGTGGTTGAGAAATATTTGCACTAGTCCCTAACCGTAATCCTTACCCCTAACTCTAACTCCAAACCATAACTCCTAATCCTTTACCCTAACCCCTAGTCGTCACCCCTTACCCCAACCCCTAGCCCTAACTCCTAATCCTAACCCCTAACCGCAAGCCCTAACCCTGCCCCCTGCCCCCTAACCCCAATTCCAACAGTATTGTGTCCGGTGAACCCATCGGTGAGCCCTTCTTCTTCTTCTTCTTCTTCTTCTTCTTCTTCTTCTTCAAATAATCAGCCCGGATCTCTCAGCTTTGCCAATCTGAGTATTGTGTCCACAAGGTGGGGCTACATAACCACATCTTACCGAAAACTGTTCATTTTTCGTGCTTGGTTTTTATAAGCAGTGTACGTTTCATCTCCTTACAAGAGCGCTGTAATTACATCTTCAGTGTTGTTTTGAGTAGAACGCCATGGCGGTTCCAGACAAAGTGCTTCAGCCGACTGAAGGCCTGACTGACTTTGCAGATCCGACTCGCAATTTCTGGTCGCCGATATTGATATTTCTTGAAATTTCTAAGCTGCGAGAAGTCCTCCACTGCCATGAAATGATTTCGACTGTCATTGATACTGGGTTCCGTGTTGTCGGCATTTGATGCCGGTTAATGCAGGACCCCTGGCTTCTCCGTGCTGATGGTCAGGCCGAAGTTAGACTACTTGGGGCGAAGAGGCCCACGCTCTGCGGCATGCCCTCTGCCTTTGTGGCTTTTAACGTGGAATTATCCGCGAACAGTTGGTCGTGAACGCTTTCATCGCATACTGTCGAAGAAGCTGCCAGACGACAGATGTTGGGCGGTTCTCAGTCGATTCCGAACTTGATGTCGATACCCGGTCGCTTCTCACAGTAGGCGTTCATCAACACGGCGGAGAACATGAGACTGAACAGGACGGGACCGAGCACACAGTCCTGCTTCACCCCACTGGTCATCACGAATGTTTCGAAGACGTTCCGCTGTCAGTGAATCTGTAAAGTTAACTTATCCTTTGAGTAAGTCGTCCAGTACATCCGAATTTTAACTTGATTTTTCGGATTCCGCCGTTATTCACTGTGTTAAAGGCCTTCTCAGACCGACGGACTTGGTGCAAACGTTGATCTTTAATTCCTGACATGTCTGTATTGCCGCAGTGTTTGCGGAATCCGCACTGCTTTTCTGGAAGAAGTCCCTTCTCCAGATGCGGATTCAAACGATTTAGCAGAACGCGAACGAATACTTTTTCCTGCGATGCTGAGAAAAGAGATGCCTCTGTGTAATTGCCAGTTCATCCTGCTTTTGTAAATGTGCACGGTGATGGCATTCACGAAGTCCTAAGGAGTGTCTTTCTCGTAACATCTTTTGGAATAACGAGGTGGACTTTTCCATGAGCTGTGGACCGCCTTGCTTGTAAACTTCGACTGGGATTGCGTCTGTTCCCGATGCTTTTCCATTGATCGGCTGTTACACTCTCCTGATTTTCTCAAGGAGAGAAGACGCACAATCGAGGTCATCCTTGATTCCCACTAAAAGAAGTCGGTTGATGCCAACGGGTGGTTGAGGACGCCCTGGAAATGTACGGGCCGGCCATCTAGGATCTGTGCCTACGAGGACATTACGGTTACTAAGGACAGCCGGGTTATCCGTCTCCGACACATTTGCTAGGAGGGCGTGTAGGTCTTCGTAGAGCTTTTTCTTCATGTCATCAGAGTTGGTCATTGAGGGGCATAGGCCCTGACGACGGTAGCGAATTTTTATCCCGCAGAGTTGCGGGAGCATGGTCATGAGACGGTTATTGATGTCCTGTGAAAAGTAGGACAGCCATCTCACGATGGCGAAGTTAACTCTGGCTTCTCACCGCTCTGGCCTTGCACATCTTCTTCAGAAGAAGGTGTATCTGACACCCGCTTCCTCGAGTCAACCTTGTTCAGAGAAATGGGTCTCTCTGAGAGCAGTAATGTCCACTTTGTGTCGGGCCAGTTCGTGAGCAACCACTGCCACCATCTTACTCGGACGTTTTGCCATTTGCACGTTTAAAAGGGAAAGAGAATTCCAGGCTGCATAGGGTCACTGCTCACTTTTTAAGCATATGCAGGCACACGAGGATGGGGACAGGAGCCGTTAGTTGTTGTAGTTTTTCGACCGCATTTTTTTGCGTCCACAAGCTATGTTCAGTTTGTCGACGACATCTTTTACCAGCAATTTTTAGGTTACCTTTTCTAGCCTCCCCCTCCCCCCCCCGTAAAGAGTTATGCAGTGCTACTCTCAAACAGGGCTATTTAGTCACTCCAAGTGGCTGCCGAATTTCATTATGGGTCACTATTTTGTTTGGTGGGAAGACGACTTGGGTTAGTCTGGGCAACCTACGAGATTGCACATGGGGAGTTTGGGAATTATTTCGGGGACCACCGGGTGTGAGGACACACACACGTCGGACACTTATCTGATTTATTCCACGAGCCAAGGACGGTTTCCGGAATGTAGCTGCCGTGTTGAGAACGACTTCGCGGAGCCACATGTGAGACCTGAGTACCGGGACTGAACGAAACAGAAGCATTAATAAAGGCTCATCGATGCGCTTGGTGACAACAGGCCTATTTGGCGTATAAGTATCCGCCAGGTCGGTCGATGCTTTGGGCGAATACTGTCAGCGTGCTGCTTATAGGTGCTTCTTATCACCAATCACGCTTGCCCACCAGGCTCAAATGGTTTCGTTTATGCTACTTTTTGTGGCTTGTTAGTTGCCGGCAGTGTATACTCAGCAGGGTATACCTGTCAGTGTAAGGTTGCGCGATGTCCATCCGAGGGCGTGTGCTATGCCAATATCAGCGAACCACGGCCCTCGCAGCCTGGAATGCGTTGGCAGTTCTCTAACACCTAATTCCCTGCTGGTAGATGTGCTTACGTTCCCGCTGGGTATACAGGTGGTGAGCATGGCTGCATAGCCATCCCCCTCGTCCTTCTGACCCCTGTTGGGGTGTTGGTGTTGTTGTTGGTGGTGGAAAACCTGGGTCGTGTATGTTGTGGACCAGTAGAATTGGTGACACGCCTAGGTGCAGGTCTGGCTGTGCCAGCCACTTGCGTCCTCCCATGCCCCCGGTCAACTTGACCCTATCTTGACACCGGCCCCAGGTGGGGAGTGGGAAAGACAGAATGCGGTGAATGCAGCGCAAGTCTACTACCACTATCAACTAATTCACGCCAAGTGACCGTGTCTGCTTCACCTAATTATGGAGCACACGGTGGACATCGTCGGCAACGGCGGTCAAACTGTCGTGCAATGCACATCTAAACGTATCTAAGATCATGGTTTGACTGTACAACGTAGGTTCCTGCCCGTGGCACCCCGTACGTACTTCCTACTAGGATATCAGACTTATAATGAACACGCAACCTAGCCTTTATCCAAGACCCGTTCGACTGTCTCGATGAACTAATCGTCACATATTGTAGTGGAAACTCGGGAATGCTGATTTATCTGGAGACTCACACAGTTATAATTTAAAGTTTGACTATGGACAGCGCCAGATGTAGAGGAGATTCAATGGGTTAGCTTAGTTGCCGACTTGTAGGTTCTTATGTCCTCCAGTCTAAGGCCGCCGAACTAGTACGAACAAGCTGCTGCCAGGACTTGAGATTAATTTATTTATGTTTAAACATATACGTAACTATAATAAACAAAAGTTCTCCCGCTCCGTAGGAAGTCTGGTACAGAACAGTTCGAAAATCGCCCACTTGCGTGACACGGTTGCCTGACATAGACTTAACTGAAGTTTATTTGCTCCTTCTTTATTCTATGCTCACAGGAAAGGCTAAGTGACTCCAGCCTTCCACGCGGCATACGATGCAGCAACGCGCAGACCTGCTGGAGGCAATTTAGACGACCATGGGATAGACGATGCGGAGTCGTGTGATATTCGAAGGCGTCCCAAGAACTGTTTAAGCATAGATTGCGTGCATGAGTTCAGAGTAAAGTTTTTTGTTTGCGACCATCTCTTCGAATCTGGAAGATATTGAAGAAGACGTTTTGTCTCCAACATACTAATCACTTAAAATGTTTCTTTATTCCTTGTTAGGGATAAGACGTTTCCTCAAAGAGCTGGCTGGCGTAGAGTTAGACAACACTCACAATTTGAGTCTGCATACCAATGGTGTTCGCTGTCATGCTAATAGCACATAGTATCTTTCCTCTTCCAGTAGGTCAGAAATTCGATATAACTTTTTGAGAATTCGAAGTCACTTAAATCGATGAACCGTTTTGTTGACGTTTGCTCGTTTTCGCAAACTTTTCCCTACTATTTTTATTTAGACTTATGTGGGTTGAGAGTTACGGGCGAAGTTCTGGTTAAAACGATTGGCGTACAGTTGCAATTTTACATACAATTCTATACTATCCTCCAAAATTTAGTCGTTTGCACTGTGTTCGAAGGCACTTGCGAAGACGCGCGAGCTGAAACCAGAAAATGGATTCCACAAGTAACTTTGAATACTTTAGCTTATTAAAAATAATTCAATCGAGTTGCCTTTTGAACACAGCCATATTACCGAAAGTCATAATCTATACTGGGGGCGAATTGCACGATCGAATTGCCTGTGGACTAAAGAAAAACTTCCGTTGGTATGGCCACGCATTCGCGTTCGACCTTGTACGAGCGGTTATACAGCAGGTTTTTGCTTGTGAGATAGATAAGTCTTCAGGTTTATGCAAGTGCAAAATAGACTGAACTACAGCTTTGCATAATCGGGTCGAAACAAGTGGAGTTTGATCAGTCTGTCTGAGTATGCGGAATTTATAAAGTCGTACAGCAATTTTGCTGCCCATTGTGTACCTGTTCAAAAGGGTCGTTGCCTTTCTGTATCCATTAGCATCTTTTCTGACTATCTGTTCTCTAAGTGTGGTCTTGAGGGCGCACCGAAAATCAATACGAAGAGTTAAAGGGGTAGTCAGCAAAAGCACATCCAGTCCTGTGAATACTCCTTTTTGCCTTTTGGGCCGCTGTTTGATAGTTTTCTGGTGCCACCAAGTTCTCAGTCGTCCAAAAGGTCTCGATCTGCGTGCGCATCCACATTTTTGAATGAAATTTCGTTTATAAAACACTACTATTTTGGGAAACATCTATGACCAGCTTCCGAGCGTGGGGCCAAAATTTAGTTTACAGTAAGTGTCAGAAGCCGCCTAGTTGTCAGGGAAATCGGACTCACAGTTTTCTTGTACTTCCTGTGTGTTGTCAGCACATACTGTATGACTGTTTAAAAATATCTATGAAATCAACTGACCGCCAGGATCCTAATTTCAGTCCTTTACGTGGAAGAGGAAAAGAGGAGGAGCTGGTGCCGTACCATGAGTGATATCACATACTACTGGCCCGATTAGGATACAACAGTGCCAGCGACAAGTCTATGCATCTTGGAAGATAGAAAGTTTTATCCGTTTAGGATAGTACACCAGATTTCGCACAAATAACCTCTTGTAGGAGACTGGCATTCACTGAATAATCCTATTAAATAACTTTCATTTTCATGGGATTAAAGAACGTCTGTAGGACAAGAGTAGGTTCTGCGAAGGCCCTGTTGGAGAGCACTGCCGAGAACCCTCTTCTCGAGATACGTCATGAAGTAGTCTTAATAGGGCGTTCTACTTTCATGCATAAAATACAGCTAGAACTAAAACGACGGTAGTTTTCTGTCTCCATTTTAAATCGTCCATTGTAGATCGGGAGTTGTGTCAGTTTTAAATTCCCATAAGCCGTTCGTCCTCATCTTTGGAACTTTGGAAGATAATCGATGTTTGCTCGCAGAGCACGTAGGTCAGTTCACGAAATGTGGATGAGTGAACAAAATCAGAACCATATGACATGATAGGCCCTAGTCGGATTAATCTTGCCCTTAGTAATGCAATAAATAAATAAAAACTATATTCCAGTTCAAGTGATGCTAACTTTTCCCGGTCTAGGGATGTGACGAACAGTAAATCAAGGAATGGAATCGGACTCAGAGAAGTTATATGTAGCTGGTGGTTACACCCGATTAATCGCAGCGAGCTCTTCCGTATTGGGCTTCAGATCAGGTATCGGACAACGGTTTTTGTCATGTCGTTTGCAACTTATGGAACCTTGTGATTTTCCAGAGATTTATGCAGTATATTTGACTCATACTCCCTTCGAGGTCTCCTAATATCATGTTGGCAGTCATTCCGTTGTAATTTTACTTTCACATCTATTCGTTGCTCGCCGTCTATCTAAATCTCCTCTATAAACTATTTCTTTTTGAAGACTGTCCGAAGTTCCTGATTAATGCATTTCGGAAGTCGCTTGTAAATTGAGATCAATAATTTTTCACAAACGAACCGAAAGTTGTTTGGTATTCGTTGTGCGATCAATGTAACGTAGGTGTCCAAGGCACCGCTGAGGTTAGCCATTATGTACTCTTTTATATGTCCATAGTCTTTTTTCATTGTAGCCTTGACGTTTTAACCTTCAGCCTCTTTTAATCGATTTTATTACTTTTCTTATTATTTAAAAGTTATTTTTTTAGTATTGTCGTTATTGATTACTGCCCTCTTTTGGTAGGCTAGCTTCGTTGCGCCTAACCTGTTCATTTTTCTTGTTTTTTGTTATATAACAGGCTGATGAGCCCAGTTCATTTTTACGTCAATTTTACCAGAAGTACGGCAAAGTACCCAATATCCATAAAGCTCGAATAAATGCTACGTCCTGATTTCTGAAGATGAAACTACTATACGTGAAGTCTCTAACGCCGAGATCGGGATTGCTGTTGCTTCCAGATTATTGACGAACATGGGACACGCATGGCGACAGCTGCAAAGTCACACAAGGTAACAATTCCTAACCGATGACGTTTAAGATACCTAGCCGACTTGAACTTCTACGTTTTAGCAATATATTTACCTTACGTACCTTTTCAGTTTTCTGCAAGTGTGAATCTTTTTCTTGTTCACGACATAGAGATTTTGGAAAAGCTTAGGCGAAAAACCTTGAAGCCTGCATGTGCGCCTTTTATAAATTGCTTAAACGTTCATACACTGGCCCAGGAAAATCCCTGAACAGATTTTGCTTGGGCTTACAATACATTTCATAGAGTCAACAAAGTTAATGCATTCTTTCCTGCCGATACGGCTTCTCTATTATGTGCCAGCCCACACATGTCAGCGTACATACGACGACTGTAGCCAAACATCGTATATTTTTTAATCGACTCCTAAAATATGTTAAATAGGTCAGGAGTTAATTTACTTATACGTGCGTTACCAAGGGATCACCGGCTTCCTATAGGAATCAAGACGGACCAAGAAGGGACGCACACATCAAACACGACCCTCAGTCTGAATGATTCCTAGTTGTGCAAAGCAGTGAGGCAAATGTAATTCAAGTCTCGTATACACTGCTATGAACAGTGGGAGGCGGAGCTCTTTTAAGCTTGTATGAAAAGACAAAAGGTGACTTTTCACCGTGTCGAGGGTGTCCAAGTGTCTGTTTTTTGATCGAATATGTTTCCACCAACCTCTTGGTGCGTCTTAATGTGAAACCTTCTCCTTTGTCATGTTAACTGTACATAATTCTCTATTTAATCAATTTCTCTACTCTTTTAACTGTTGCGAGTATAGATTTGCCTACAGCTTCGCAAATATACCCCCATTTCAGGATTTCTGTTAAGAGCTCTAGCGTGTAGTTTCTTTATAAGACTCTAGCCAGGTCACTAAAAGATGCTTAATCATTGCGGATAATTCGGGTTCAATTGTAAACTCGGCAATCCAGTATTACGCATGTAATATCTACGGTGCGCCGGACAACAATCCTTTCAGTCTACGCCACCATTAATAATTCTACCCCTGATTTGGATTTCCCTTATCAAGCTACTGTTTACTCATTGGAAATATACTAGCCGTAAGTTTGTTATTTCTCGGGTAATTGGTTTGATATATTCTGAAGTTAACGATTATTGTTTAAATACGCTTGTTTGTTGGCCGGTTGGTTTGAGTGGGGTTCGTCTTTTGCGTACGTACCGCCCGGTGTGACTTTTCATTCAACGGTCAAGCCTTACTGCAACTGCAACGCACGTTATCGACCTGTTCACTGAGTAGCTAAAATTGAGAGACTCTTTTGTCAAGTTTTACTCTTAAGGTCTTCGGGGTATCCATCGTCGCGACGACCCCTTTGTATTCTTAAAGTGGCATTACAGTAGTGCTTTTTCGGAAGTTAACCTATAAGGCATTCGCTCAACTACCCCCGTCCAACGGCAGTCTGCGTTGACATTTTAAACGCACACACGGTATTTTGTTAACTATTTTTGGAAGCCGTTGTGTTGTGAATTTGATGCCTTATTTGTTGGCCAAATAGGACAGTAGTAACGAATGTCCCGCCTGGTTTCACTGCGCAATATCATAGAAAAGCCCTTATAGCAAGCTGACTCTTGACGCTAAGGGAAGTTGGCAATTCTGTGCCTCGTACGGTCTCTATGTTCCATTGTGGTGGACACGCCGTCGACAAGAACGAAGGGAGACTTGAACGTAACGTTACAGTGAGGGCTGTCGAAAGGTTTTTCCGTAGTGGCAATTGTGCTGGTGTTTTGTTATGACAGGTGGGTTAGTCGTGTTTACACTGCGGCACATCCTGACGCATCTAAAATTTTAAATCGGGGCTTTAAATTCAAGTCGACAGAGAGGATATCTTGTATGCTACTGGCGCCATTAGATGGCATCATTTTGGTTCCGCATGCTTGGTTTCTAGTTTTTAATTCTTGTATTCTGCTGGATTCCAGATAATTGCCTCAGTTTTTATGCCTGATCGCCATGCCTGCCGATCCTTCGCAGACGCCGTCAGGTCTCATAGAAATGCTTGAGGGATGTCTTCAAAGTGTTTCCGTAGCATCGTTTTCTGTCCATCTTGCATGCGAGCACCCGTTGTGGTATCCCCACGGAGAAGTTGTGCCGTTAAGCTTTTATCAGTAATCTTCACAATGTGTTCTTTTCATCGAAGCTAGGTCTGCCTTAACATGGCATAGATGCTTACCATGCTGGTCGACATTCAGATATTAAATTATTTTAAGTTTTGACCCAGCATCATGTCTCCCAGTTCTGGTCCTTTTGAGATCCCCTTGGACTATGGATAATCGTTTTATTTACAGTGAATATCCCTTTACTGATAAAAGTAGCGGAGGTTTGGGAAAATCACAGCTTTTGTATGGTGCCCTCAATGGCTGCATAGACGACAGTAAAGTTGTTTTCCGAAGCATGTTGTTTTTCCTCTATAATCTTGTAAGTTCGTGATTTCTGCAGCTATTATTCTTGAATGAAAGGAGACAAGACTCCCTATATGCAGTACACGCAGCCGGAACGCATCGACAGCTCAGGTGAGCATAGTCGATTTGCTGTGCGAGTTTAAGAATCCCGGATATTTGCGAGCGTTCCCTCATCGCACCTATATCACTGCTGCCCACCCGCGTCCAGTTCAAAGCACATGACGGTTATTTTCGCTGGGGTCGATGAAAGGGAGATTGGGATGTGACCAGGTTGGGGTTTCACTTCCTAAGTGGGCGGGTCAGTAGTTATTTGCGCCACTTCCTGGCCTTGTCGTCCATATTCCCATTTTCTGTCTTCTTTGTAGCTCTATCTCAAATAAAACGTGAGATATGGATGACTTGAATGGGAATGACGATCTGCAAAGGATCTAGGCGTGCCGTCAACGTAGTATTTCGGTCAGTAAAGTGACGGAGTGGTCCCTGGTTATATTTACTGTTGCCATTCAGATGGATCTGACGAGAAGTTAACTACTCTGTGATTATTCCATTATTTTTGGCGGCAGCACTTAGGTTTACTGTTTTCTGGACTATCTTTTATTAACTTATTTAAGTCCAAAATGAGCATTTTAATCGATAGAAGTTGGTCAGTGGTAAGTACCCTATAACGGAATTTTTAGAAAGACTTGTGATTTGTGTTTCCGTTGCCGAGGTCAGGGGCGTTGGCTTTGTATGTACAGAAAACTTGGATGAGGGAATTGCCACTGGCCATTATTTCCTACGTTCGTGGCGCAGGTGAGGTGCCGCTGCTCAAAATTCCGAGAAAGTAGTTTGGGCACCCTAATTACAAAGAGTTAATGCAGCTAGGTTTGACCATATTATTCACAACGCGGATAAAGCTAGCAGCCCCCAATCCAGAGGCACTTCGTACCCTTTCTCTTGAATGGGAGCTACTTTCCCTCGTTGCCTCGCAAACTAAATGTGACGAGATACAGGTAGTCTGCACTGCCCGGAACTTGGTTGACTCATCCAGCGATCTCACTGGGACAGTTGTCAACTCACTCGGCACTACTGACGACCACTCGCAGCGCCTGGTCCATTGTAAAGTTTTCGATGCTTCTGTACCTAGATGGAGTCCTGAAGTTCACAACGACCGCCACTTCATCGAATTTTGGTATTTAGCACACGTTCAACAGGATGACTTTCTACAAGGGGCGGGCCCTGGATATTGAAAATTCCCCTAACGAGTGTCTACAAACCAACCCGAAAACGGTTGTAATGTCTGCAAACCAAATCGTCGTTGACTGTTGGTCTGAAAGCCCTCAACATGCTAATATCTGATCGGAACCATCGTATATTTTGGTTGTTTTCGTCTCCTTTGACAGTTCAGATAATCGTGTTATCCCTGTCCTTACATTCTTCCTTTTAACGCATATTGCAGCTGTGCTATGGCCGCAAGAGCGGCTACAAAGATGGGGAAGAAGGCCAAAGCTGCGGTGGACATGTCTAAGCATCCACCTTTCATGCGCATGTTTATTCCCGCGCAGCAGGCGAAGCCGGCTCCGCCCCTGGGACCCCAACTCGGCAAGGTAAGTTTGTGTCTCTCTTACCCCCTTTCTCTTTCCAGCGGAACATTAATATCGCCAACTTTTGCAAGGACTTTAATGAGCGTACAAAACATATTAAAGAGGGCGTACCGGTGCCTTGCTTTGTTCATATAAATGTAAGCCGATTCCTTCTACATCCAAAGCTACCGCCTTTAGCCGGATCGATCCTACAATTTGCAAATGTCACACCCTCCGTCTTTTTACTTGCTCCGCTTGGCTGCAGGCTGCAAAAAAGGTGCAGCTAACCCGGGTAGGTCGCTGTCTTACAGGCCTTAGTGCTCATCCTTCCTTATACTGGCATGTGAAGGCAGTTACTAAAACAAAGTGGGACGTTTGTTGCGGGACAATTCCTCCTGTGCTGTACTGCATCCGCCCTAATAATGCCATTTTCGACTACTAATCACTCAATATAGCGGTGTCCGCTTGGTTTTCTAGCCCCAGTATCCCAGTACTCCTCAGGAGTAACTACTGAAGACCGATTGAAGAAGGGCTATTCTTGAAGTAATGTCTCAATCAACATCCATTTAACTGCCGGTCTGAAGAACATGCACTTGCAGCGCTAGCCGACAATTTGCTAATGTGTATGGGTTGGACACGGAATAAGCACTCACTCCTCGTATTGCAAGTGGTCCTGCCCTAAATTCCAAGGGCACCTATTCTCGTGTCCTAATTTTGGCCCTAACTCTCCTGACACTAACCCCAACCCTAACCCCTCCCCCTGGGATTCGACGCAAGGCCGCTTGTAGTACTCGAGGAGCGGGGGGGGGGAGAACTGGTTACAATGCCTTGCCTCGTGTTCGTATGTTTGCCATGTGCATCAACGGCTTGTCCTTTGTCTATGCGCCTAAGGATCGCCGAATTCCAAAATTCATATTTCGGTTGTCAGTACTAATAAATGAATCCGATAGGTCGTCATCAGCGACCGGTAGCCTACGTAAACCTTGCTGTTGTTGGGACAGGAATCTGCTTCTTTTAGTGTCTGAGTGCGCTGACCACAGTTCTCTTGCATGCCAACAGTCAGCTAGATTGCAGCTCACCCGATGGCAATTTCGCAGGGCGTTTCAGTGGAGAGATGGTTCTCCGTAACCCCTCAATTCGAAGGTGGATGCAAAGGTAGAGCAGTTTCTGAGGAGGGGCTACCTTGCCCTTGGCTATTCTCTTACTTGTATCCATTCTGTGCCGATCTTACGAGCCAGCGACTAAACTCTCTAAATATTTGTTTGCATAGAAACAATTAGATCATGGAGGTTGCATATAATATTACCTCAAATTAATCCACACAGTGACGCGTGCAGACTTTTGGTCGAAATGAGTCCCACTCAAGAAAGACTAGTTCAGTAATTTGCATTTCATCGTTGGCTTTCCGTGCTTCAACAACTTGTATTTGCTGCACTAATTCCACGGGGAATGGCTTCCTTCCTAGAGTCTGCACTCGAAAAATGGAGGTATTCCAGTTTTGAAAGATTTCGTGATTCCTCGAATTCTTAGAACCCACTTGATTATTCATAAAGTCTAATATCCTCTATGAATGCTACTTACCAAACTTGCAATGAAATCCATGTGTATTTTGAAGTCTTGTGAAATCAGTTCGCCTCCTTATGAGGGCATGAAGAGTTATATGAACTTGCTCCCAGTAAAATCACTACATGTTGTTTAGAAAACCCAAAGGTATAGTTTCTAGACGTTTGCATAGGTTTTCAACCCCACATCCGTCGATTAGGAGGTTTTTGTACATTATTTCAGACAGAATGAGTACATAAGTGGAATAATTTTGTGACCCTTCTGGGTTATGCAATTGAATTTATACAAGCATTGTCAGTCAGTACACAAAGTTCTACTACTGTAGCTACTTTTCTATTACTATGGTGAGAAATATTCCCGCCCAAAAGGCAGTTTGCCTCGGAGTACGTGTGGACCCGGAATTTTATCCTTTGCTAATCTGTATTGTTGCCTGTTTGAATGTATGATTCAGGGGTTTTGGTGCACACTGTAGATGTCAGGAATCCCTTAACTAAGTTGACATTCGTTGGTACAGTCTGCGGTCATGTGCAGTGTTGCCTTCTCCGCCCTATGGACCTAATTATTTCATGTATTAGACCTTGCACGTCAGCAGACTTATGCAAACTAGAAGGTCTTTGTCAGTTGGTGGTTGTCGCCGTCGTCTTTGCCTATATTCCCCAACCGTGTTTTGCCAACCTGTGAATCACACTCTCCCTCATGTTATTACTGTCAGTACTGACCTGCGGCAGAATTTTTGTATTTTTTCTTGCACCCATTTGTTTCTGAACGGAGCATGTTATGCAGCCTGTATGTTCTCTGAAAGACCCTCCACTAACTGTTGAACGGCATCCCCATCACTAGCTTTGATTGTAGGAATGCCAGTTAAGAGGGCGTATTTGCACTCCTTATCAATGTTCATTTTTGAGATGGTGCGAAAGAATCCCGCTCCATCAATTAGCCTACGTATCCTGCGTATGCACATAAACTTGAGCGACCGGTGTGCAGTTCGGGATAACTTGTCAATCTTCAGGGCCCTTTTGATGATACCGACGACGGTGGGATAGTCTCTGCAGTCGTTTGACAAGTTGAACACCGCAATAAACAGACCTTTGAGTATATGCATCTCCTGGGTCCCTAATGAGGTGAGGTAGACTATCGCATTGAGGAAGTTTGCGAGCACTGTGGTGTCCTGCAAGTCAGCTCCGTGAAACATGAGGAGATAGAGGAAGCTCACAAAATTGGCTGGGTTCGTCACCGCAGGCTTGCAGCTATTGAAAACCTTCTCGAAATTTATCCGCCGGACAAGTTGTTTGGCATTACAACCGGAATTTAACAGAACTGCGGTGAATTCGACCAGAACGTTAGCGTCCTTAGCTGGCGGCCAAACAGCCCAGATCATCTCCCAGGCGCTGTCTGCCACAATTTTTGACATTTTCATACACGTTCCGGCGAAAACCCGACAATTTATTTGGTGCGGATTGTCAAAGTTGAATTTGTTTAGCATCAGTGGACGGTAGGTTTCGGCCAGCGGCACGCGAAGTGCCAGGGGAGGAATCTCCAGGATGCGATGTCGCTTTCGCCACCGTTTTTCGGGGTCCAGACAGTCGGCAACGAAGCAGGTCTGTTGACTGGTGTTTGTGTTGGTCAGTAGATGTTTGAGGACCTGTTTGCTGCCAAAAAGAAATGCGTATCCAAAGGGTGTCAAAAGAAGGGCAGTGGGTGGCTGGAGGAGGCCCTTGAAGAGGCCCAGTACTTGCTTCTCGTCGACAGTGTAGAAAAGGGAGGATGCCAGGCAGGGGAACTTCTCTAGTGCAGCGACTACGTACGGGAGGTTATCCTGACGTATCGCTGTGATAAGGGGCATATTTATTACGTAAGCGGGCAGTTCTATGAGATTCATTTTTGCGCGTCGCCAAGCCTCTGGAAGACTGACCTGGTTTTTTAGACGTGTCCCACCACAAAGATCGATAATTTAAGTCGGCTGGCACGCAACTTGGCGTTTAAGTCTCAGTCGTTATCTAAGCGCCTATGATATCTAGGTCATGATATCAACAAATGGCATAAAATTAGTTCTATTCGATCCACAGGATAAAGACTCGACTTCGATCGTATAATCAATAGATATCCGGCCACCTGACTGTTCTTCGCACTGTGCTGCCTCCTGTCTGTTGTTTTGCTGCAGCAGTCTGGTGAAGTGGCTTTCCTTGTCCTCAATTCCCAGTTTTGATTGGGATACCGCCGTTTGCTCGGTTCCGTGATCCGTGGAAAAGCTTTCAATCACAAATCGACGGCGATGGACTTATTCCTCTTTCTCTTCCAGGATCCCCTTGTTTACCTTGTGCGTTTAACGTGCGCGTTGTGGTCCCAAGATCTGTCGGTTAATGCGCCAGCGTCTGTGTTTGACTGGCCCATGCACCCGTCTCTTAGGCCGTATGATATTATGACACCAGCGTCGTTTGGCTTATCAGCCTGCCAGGTTATGAGCTAGTGCTGGAGGAGAGCTATATTTCCAGGCACTCGGTCGATCCAAATTAACTATAATATTCCTGGCCGATTCCCTTCGTGAAAGCCATGCTCTTTTGCACTCCTAGGAACCGAAGTGGCTGGCCGGCTGACTCTGAAACACATCTATGAGATCGCCTGCTTGAAGAAGCAGGACGCCGCCTTGGAGACGGTTCCGCTGAAGTCCATTTGCATCGATCTGATTAGCACCGCCCACCGACTTGGCATCCAAATCATTTCAAGAGAAGAGCTCGAGAGCGGCAGTGTCGACCACTCGCCAGAGGCCTACGCAGAGTTCCTCAAACAACGCGATATCGACGTGGCTGCCCGTAAAAAGGCCCTCGAGGAGAAGAAACAGGCTAAACTTATGCGAGTCTCTTGATCTGCCGTGGCCGTTCTCCTCGGCCGGTCCCCTTATCTCAACCCCGACTTTCGTACCTGAATATTGGGTTCCCTTTGTATATAGCGAATGGTACTACCTTTTTTTAACGCCTCGGCTCCCTTTTGCCCAACCACTGCTCCCTCCGAGGATTTGATAAGATGCCTCCTCAGTGCACATCAGTGGTTCCGATGTCACTGCTTGGAGCTGGCTCCCAAGGTCGCTCCGGGTACCTGCAAACAGCACCTATTGCTTTCACAAGAGATTGGCGCTCGTTGGTTGGACCCAAGAGCGTACGGCCAAATGAGTTCGTCTAATTGCTTATGCAGATAGAGTCGTCAATGCTAGGATCTGGTCTAATCGGAGTATTTTTTTCCACTAGCCATTCCGTCGTTGGTCCTTTTTGTGATTGCCTAAGATTGAATTGGACAGTCCCTGGAAGCCTACTCTTTATTTCTCCAGTGTCGTGTAAGAGATATGGAAGACCTCGGGACGACACATGCAGTCAGGAGTTAAAAGTCTTGAAAGTAACTGGTCGGACTTCCTGTCCTAAATAACCCATCATGACCTACATGCGGCGCGGAATGTGGCCATTTTCTTGTGCGCTTGGGGTTCGATTTAGATTCCCCTCGTGTTTTCTAATGGCGGCAAACAGTGCCCGACTAATCTGACCTTAACGCACTGTTTAACTATCTGTAGTAAGAGATGTCAGACTGTCTCGTCTTTGACTTTCATCGGGGGCTCTGCTCTGCGCTCTTTCTGTGGAAACTAATTGTTGGGAGATAGCGAGATGTGACCTTAATGTTCCTGCGTAGCAAATCAGTACCCCGATCGTAACAAAGTATTTCCTCCTTCAAACCGTCCTCCACATTGTTACAGTTTCGGTAGAACAAGCCCGAGTCGTTACTTGCTCGGACGAGTGGTCAAGCGACCAGCTTCCCCCATTCGCATATGGTTTTTACTCCTTGGATGACTTCATTTTTTTATGATTTGGGATATGGGAAGGGGGAGGTGTCACGCGGCAGCTTGAGTCATGGACAGACTAGCCACCACAACCACCAGGCTCGGTCCTGAATAGAAAGTGAAGTTTGATTTCAGTAGAGAGAGCGGGTGGAGAATAGGCTGGAGCAGGTTGGCAGCCGGGCGAGGGCACACACCTGGCGCCCACAGAGCATTTGTCAGAGCGTCTTGAGCGAGGGCATATCGACATCGGCCTTGAGGTTGGTCGGCCGAAGACCTGACTGCCACTGGGATCTGCGGGATGCACAGTGTTGCAGCAGGCACCCGAAGTAGGGGCACTGCAGGAAAAAACGTGCAGTTACACTGTTATTCCTACCTATTACCCACATCTTCCTGGGAATCCCCCATTAGACGTTATTCGAAGCCACAACCACTTTGGCCGGAGACCACTCAGATAGAGAGATAGAAGGATTGAGAGGGGAACGAAGGATATTTGCTCTGTTGACTCAACTTACGCGACTAACGGGCGGGTTGCATGTTTATGCTAGTATATTCGACAAGGATGGGAAACGGTTTTACTGAAATTAACTTGAGTAGCGTCAAAATAATCAGCAAAACAGAATTCGTTTGATTGGCGGCCCGCCTAGGCGAGGTTTACGACATGCAAGCCACCGGCGTCCCATCCATTGTCCGGTTCACTTGACTTTGTCTTGGCACTGAGCCCATGTGGGGAGAGAAGGAGAGAGTGTGGTAGATGGGGCCCAAGTCCGCTATCATTATAAATTATTTCACCGGTGAGTTATCGTTCCTGTGCTCACCCCGCCATGGGGTACATGGTGGAAATCGTCAGAATCCGCTGGCTGGGCTGTTATGTTGGACGCTCACGCCCCGAGTAGTCTTAGGCGTTCTACCTACTTCAGAACAAAGTTGTGTCAGACTTGCTTATTTCTATCCAAACTTTGTGCAAACGCTTATAATTTAGACGATGGACAAATGGATGCATGGACAGACACTGAACCTCTCGTATTAAATGTACATCAGCCGGCAGTGGGTCGCGGCCCCATCCCCCTGGCCGGATAGGCGCAACTATCCACATGCTGGTGGTGTTTTTTTCACCTTAACGTAGATGGCAGCCACTGAACTACAGATCGTCGGTCAAAACGGCATTGCCAGTCTTTTACCTGTGCGAATTTGACGCCTCTAGTTCGAAAGAAAACGCAAAGGACTGTTTCGTGCGCAGCACATATGTGCGTTTATTTATATTGTCGAACAGCAGATCAGACTGGCAGTTTTTTCATTGTTACCTCTCCTCTGCCCAGAAATAAGCTCCGTGTTTTGCTCTCCTGACTCACGTATTCCGGACTTTGCGACTGTGGTGGAAACGGCACTCATGTTTCTGTACACACTTTTGAATAGTATGGTAAGCAACTGCTGGTTCGTGCCTTTCAGAACCTGAGGAATAGGATTAAAGTATAACGCCCTCCAAACATTAAAGTTCCTTGCAGCTGGGCTGAGAGAGTCGAAGCGGACTATCCCAGACCGACTTTATTAAGCCTCTTAATACGATCTAACGTCGTGCAATACTCTTGTCAGTAGGTCTGTTTGGTCACTTGTAGATTCATAGACCTTTGGATGTGACAAAGTATATGCTAGGTTTTACTACCTCCTCGCACATTCCAAAAGATCTCAGAGAAGGGCTTGAATTACGGGCTCCTTTGACGCTAAGGCCGTTCTTTGCCGAACCGAAAGTGGCATTTGATGATCCGACTGCATTCAAATTTCGTTAACTTCTACGTTGTCTCGAAGCTCAGCAGGTAAGCAGGAATACAGCAAGAGAGACACGGAGAACGAATATCTGTATTTGCACCTTGTTTGTAGTTACGAGTTCACATGGTTTTCATTTCATATTCACCGCATCCACCATGCTACACAACTGCTTGCAGTAATCGAGGAGGATAGAGAGGGGAACAGTGCGAAGAGGTGACTCACTGGCAAAGCATTAAGATTGGTAGCAGTCAAGTTGTCAACGAAACTGCCCGATCAAAATTAGGCTGGAGAGGGAGTCGAGCTTTATTTGCCGGGATCGACAAGGCCAACTTGTCTAGTTAAATCCAAGTGGGGTTTAAAGTGAGTCTAACGTCAGGGCGCCTTTGCACAATCTTGAATGAAATAGGGTTTAATGAAGGCATCAGGTTCAGCTACCTCCTGTTTAGCTTCTAGTTGGGTTTAAATACGCATAACATGGTGGACATGAGATGTTAAGGTCTTTAAGGGATAAGCAGGACAGGCTAAAAGAACACGGAATGTTTTTCAAACATTGACTGGACCGGAAAAGGGTTCGTGTTGTGTAAGAGATGCGAGAACAAGTTAAATGTGGTGGCTGTTCGACGCAGTTATTCAACTCATGACGAAGTATATCTCGATTCTTGCTCCTGTGGCCCTTACCTAGGTTCGTCCAGTTGCCGTGGCAGTGATTCAAATTGTGGTTTTCCTCCTTTGTGGGAAGGCAATGGTTAATCAGTCTCCCCTTCTAACGTCCTCTTTGTGCTTGGGCAACCTGGTAACCATTCGTCGGTCCGTTTAACCTTTAAAAATGCAAGAATAATCAGTGCTGGGGACACTGTGGATATTTCCAGACAGCTCGTTTTGGCTCGTTTGTCATTTTTTTGCGTCACATGGCAGCACATCTACACCAGTTAAGTGACGATGACAGTCACGCCACGTGCGAGGCTTTCCGCTGCCCCCCCCCCCTATATTTCTACAGCATTGGAGTTGGGAACGACATGTCATCCTCATCCGACCTTGGCTCGTCGGGGATACCAGATAACCAATCTCTAAAAAGAACTTGAGCGTCTTAAAATCCAGAAGGGGAGACTTCTGAGGTGTGGAGTGGTCCAGTAGACTTGGCTCTCTGGCTTTCCGATCGGGAATAAGTTGCGGACAACGACGACAATGTGGTTGAATGTGGGTTGCGTTCACTCGAATAAATTCCCAAACAGGGCGGTGTCCTCGGCATCGTCAGGGTCGGGATCGAGAACGTTTTGCGGCGAGAGATGCTGTCGTGGTCGTGGAGGAGCATTCAACATAAGAGCGAATAAAACCAAGGCATAACTTTTCAAGTCCAACAGTCCTATTGATTTATCTACTCTCTAGTTCTAAAAGTAGTGGTTTTGGATTGATGGTTGCACATGCTAAACGACAGCGCTCGCTTAGTCATAATGCGCCTAGGCTGCCAACTCAGACTTCCTTGGTAGATGTTGACATCATCCTGTCTCGCTATCATATGTTTTAAGTTGCATTTTTTTGTCTCTCGAAGTTAAACGCATGCATAGGAACTTGAAAACTTTGGAAGATTACACCGATTTTGCGGCCCCGAATATTTTGGCCTCAAGTTATATTCGCCATCACTTTCACACAATGTGGGTTACTTAGGACATGCGGCGGGGTTCTAACCCCCTCGCTTCCGACTGTTCCAACTTTGGACTGATCATTAGCATAGAGAACATAGTGGTTACGCACCAACCGACGCCAAACGTTGACTACAATGAATTCCATGATAATGTCTGTGGTACTCATCTCACAGCAGTGAAGACATTTACGTACGTTCCAAGTACTTTTTCAAAAAACATAAAATCGCAAGTCGGATCTCCAGAATCAGTCAGGCTATCGGCCGACTTAAGCGCTTCGCCTGGAACCCTCGTGGCCTTCTAACCAACACCAAACTGAGGATACGCAGGACTCGAAGAAGGAGACGCGATCGCTGGAAAAAGAGCTTTATTAGCCTGACGTTTCGGACTCTAACTCGAATCTCACCCTTATCTAACCCTGTCTCTGATGATGGATTCGAATGAGAATCTAAAATGTCAGGCTAATAAAGCTCTTGTTCCAGCGATCGTGTCTCCTTCGCGACTTCTTCCTGGAACTCACCTCTTCGCTTCTATTAGATATACAGGACTGCTGTCCTGTTATCGTTTTTGTACAGGAAGAAAAATGGACTGTTAGCGAAGGTCAAGCAAGTCAACCCAACAATTTTCACCTCATCT